CTAGTTGAAGTTATGAAGTTGGACAAAATTAACGATTGTCCACATAAGCTCGGCAGTTTGGGCAGTCAGCTGTAGCGGTGTCACTCTTCCTCGCTGAATATCTCCGGTGCATTACAGCCGACCGCCAAGCGGAGGAACTCATCTCAGCCAACGAATTGAAATTACTCATTTCAGTTAAAAGGAAAAGCCCACAGAAAAACTTTATAAGTAGAAAACAGAAAAGAAAACTATTTCCCGGTACTTTCGTGTTTCCTACCAACAAATGGTGACGTTCCATAAGAAATTTGTCATTTTAACCTATACTGCAACTGATCAAAACCGTAAACATGTCGAACCCCCCAAAAAACAACAAAAAAGCAAAACATTCCACTGTTTCCAAACTTGTTAAATATACACTACTAAAAAAGTTAAAAGGACCAATTTAAGTTTTGTGTATACTTTTTTATATGTGATATTTTACTGCTGAAAATGCGCATTTGATGTTTTGAAACAGTTTTCTTTTAATTTTTTATTCAAATGAGAACGCCCTCTAGAAATGAAAGAACTAGACCCCACTCATTGCTTGGAAAGAATTACAAGTGGTCCTTAACTTTTTTTGAGTGGTATATTGTTTCAAAGAAAACCTCCTTTCCAGTTCAATTCAACAGCATTTATTTATCAGGATAACTCACCAGCTTGGCTACATGCCCCCTTTCCCGGGCAACGCTCTCGTGTCTCTCGCATGACTTGCTTCATCCAGTGATCTGGGTTATCAGGATCAGGTTTCGGTGGGGGACCGAAGTAACATGTCCTCGCTGTGCCCTCCACACCACTCGAGAACACTTGGAATCAAAGACAGATAAATATCAATATCACGATAACTTCTCTAGGACGCAATTTGGCTAATCTTAGTATTATTACTATTTTTTAAAATGCTTGAAACGTTTGTTCATTTTTTATCCGTAGTATTGTTATTTTGTTTATCATAGTCCGTTTAATATTAGCAACAATCAAAGGCAGGTAGATGTCAATCCAATCTGGACTTCTTTTGTGTGGTCCATTTAGCCCGTCATATCGCCAAATCATTCGGGAGATATATCAGTAAGTTGAATTTCATGTATTCTGGGTTTTTTCAGCGCGATTCACTTATATGCACACAAAATTGGAAGTGTCAATGCAATCTTTAGTGTATCAAGGGGAAAAGGTCTGGATTCTCTGTTAGAGAAGAATTACAGAAAAGTAGTTAGTGTCTTAAAGTTTTGACTTGTGCCAAAGGTTGGTGGAAAAACTTGACAATCCAAGATCTTTTCGTAGTGTTTTAAAATGGTGGGAGACATTTGACAAATTGATATGTACATCCAAACATTCGACAATCCTTGAGAACTCACTGAAATGTAGGTTTGCTCAGCAATATCTCACCTGCGAAAACTTCGCCGTCCAGCACATTTGTTTTGTTTGCCTATTTTGTAATTACATGTGTGTAATTACAGCTGTCAAATCAAGGCAATTGGTTCGGACCAATGCCATTCTGATTGTTTGTTCGGTTAAGTTTTCTTTTCAGAAAATTGCCACTCGATTTTTGAATTTCGAAACGTCACTTTCAACTGCACATACAGTAACAGAATATTCCACACAATGTCCCCCTCCGTGGTGTTTGTCCAGGATTGTCTTGGATAAATTTTTCTACCCGATCCAGCAAGCGTGTTCTCGTAGTTTCTTGTAGTAAATTTAACACTTTTTTGTCAAAAAAAAAAAAAAAACTGTCCTGGCTTTGCTCTCATAAACGCCCGTTTCCGAGACAAAGTCATCCCAAATTCTATACATTTCGGTGAACTCAATATCAGTTGGGCCTAAACGCGTGAGGCCATTAATTTCAAACGAACGCAGCAACGAAACTAAGTGATGGATAGAAGTGGACCGCAAGTGTGCTTTTAAGCGAATGCTTTTATACACATACCAAGTTTTGTTTACATTGAACCAATTTTTGAAATATCACAAAGACGATTTCACATCAACCGCTGTTCGATGTTATTCTTATTTAAGGATTTGGCATTTTCGGTGATAACAGGTTAGGCCTACTGAGATTTCAAAGTAAACCAGGAAAAAAGGAAGTTACCACAAATGCCCCGGTTACATAAATAGGCAGCTTTTGATGTCAATTAATGTTAGTGAAGCAATTACTGTTATTTTCTGCAGAAATATTCACTGCCAAATAGAGAGGGAATACTTAGACTTAAACATGAAACAAAGAACGGGCTTACCTGCTATAGCAGAGACAATCACAATCCAAGCGGCCTTTTTGTTCATTGTCACAAACTACCGATGCTGAATTATGAGCAGCAAACCCGGAGATTACCCGTATTTATCACTGACTCCCAAACCTCCTCAGACGGCTTCAAGGCCATCTTAACCGGTGGACGTCGTTGGCAGTCGGTTGGTATTGTAGAAAGGTACTTATGTGAAGCACTGTCAAACGTGATAGTGTCATGCGATGAAATATTAATGGCATTTTGCAACAAAACGTCAAACGTATCAATTGACAACTGTGTGGTATGTCAATTTTTGTTACGTCCACAGAATAAGCATGACGTAGGTTGCATTTATAAAACGGACATGAAATAAAATATCATATGTGCTAAAATCCTCATATAACAAGGTAGTTTCGAACGTTACTTTTAGTAATAATGGATTCAGTCACTGGTAGATATTTCAAGAGTGCTTTTGCGAAATAATTGTGTGACTTTTAACAAGAAATTTTTAATTGATATTTAGTGATAAAAACATGTCGTTAAAAACATTAAACGATTGAAAAGAATCCAGCTTTGGCTGCACCTTTGGCGTGGCTTTGCTGTAGAAAATATTCTGGTTGGAAAGCAGACGGCTATCCCGGATAAGTTGCATTGAGTGCAAGCTTTTTCTCGTCTATCCTATTTCAAAGGGATAGACAAGAAAAATTAATAAAATTAACATATGTAAAATTGAGCGAAGGTATACGTTAACAATTTAAAACATTATCCTTGAACTTAACTGAAAAAACTAACAGTGACAGTATCACAAAATAAGCTTCCACTTTAAAACATTTTTCAAGCTAGACAATATGGTGTGTGGGTGTCCATGTGAGTTTGTTTCTGCATTCAATTGGGGACCCTGAACAATAGCGGACGATAAGGTCCCCGATTGACAGAGGGTCCCCGATTGACAACTGTGTACAAAACAAATGGGTGGTCTTCTAAAAAGTTAAAGTAAAAACAAACGAGGAAGAACAATAGGGGGTCCCCAGTTGCAGGCAAATACACACGTTTTTGTGTGTGTGTGTACGTGGGGAGAAGGCTACACTCTCCATGCCCTGTAGAGCCACATTTATCCCCGTGTCACCGCTGCTCAATTAAGCAAATATTTGCAGCACCTCTGTAATAATTCAACCAATGACAACTTTCATTTTGTTCCTTGTGTGATAATGAAATTAGTGGGTACCATATATAAAACAGTAACTACTGGAAAGTGACACAGACGATGCAAGTACAGCTATTAACTGCCTATTCCTTGCCTTGACCTGTTGGCGAAACTGGCTTTCAGTGTCGAGATTATTTATGACCGTTCATTTTAATCCAACAGAGAAAGGTAACACAACCCCTCCTCTTACACCAAACCACATGCTTCTGCCCTGTCCAGGTCTTTTATTAATTCATGTCTTTTTTTTTATAAATCATAATTCAAAAACAGACGTGGAGGAAAGCGGGAGCATCTGAACATGAAATGAAGGACGATGACGATTATACGAAAAAAGATGAAGGATGTTTTTTCCAAGTTCGTTTTTACGAGATTTACCTTTTTCAATGTTTTTTTCTTACGGGATATTGCTTTTTGAGATCGTTCCCTGTGATCTATTTCTTGAAACATTGTCTCCACGTTGGAAACATTTGCTTTCACGAGGAATATTTTTCTAAAGTTTTTTCCCAGGAGATTTCTTTTTCAATTTTTTTTACAAGATATCAGAAGGTGAACAGTGACCCAATTACTGTTAATCGGTGACTTTGCGTTACCCATATGAAGCATTGTGTATGTGTAAACGTTGTGAATGTGTCGAAAGAAATAGCCGTCGGGTATTTTCATGGGTGCTGCGTCCTAGTGAAGCGTCGTGTGCGCGCCATCAGCTACGCATCGGGCAATGATTTCACACTCAATTCCAACACCATTAAAAGCATTGCACGCTCTTTGGTTCTCTTTTATTTGAGGTTCGAATCTCAATGTCAAACTCTGGGAACCTACGGCTTAACGGTGTCTGGTACGCAGAACAAACAAATTATGACTGTGTTTATCACCCGTCAAACGATCGTGAATTAATTGCTGTAATAAATAATTGGCTTTATTGGGATGACCAAAATAGAAACCGGTCTTTCAAGGACAAAAGTAAATTTTGAATTGCCTGCATTGATAGATAGATCAATGAATGGATAAGGTGAGTGAACCTTGTAGGAAAACTGGGTCTCAAAAGAAGCGCTTCTGAGAAGACTTCATTAGACTGGCCCCAGTAAAAGGCTGGAAAAATATGTCTCACAAAACGTAATTTAAAAAAATAACTCGTAAAAATTATATAAAAAATATGGCTTGTTAAAAAAAGTAGAAAATTAGACCGTTTTTGTCTCTTTGCACCAGCGCATAGGGCTTTTTGCATTTCTAAACTTTGAAATACATATCTCGGTATGTTTGCATATGCTAAAAATATAGGTTTAAAATAAAAACAGGGTATGCACAAAAAATTATAATTTTACAAAATTTGAAGAATGGCGCATTTTGATGTCTCAAAATTCTCTAAACATGCCACACATTGATACAACCTTCACCATGATTTTAATTCAACGAAACTAGTAATGAAGAAGGACTTGTTTGTATTATCTTGATATTTGGCACAGTAAGATATGCTCGGTGACATCTGTGTACTGATGGATACACCTGTCAACTGGTTTCAAACAATGGCGATACTCATGTTCCAGCACTCTTCAATAGACAATTACGGTCACCATAGTAACACCATCACTGGTTAATCTTTACGGTGCTTTATGGGTAAGCATTGTGATAGCTCTTTACGGAGCTTGGTCTGACAGTCCTTTGTTCAATACCCAGTGCCATGTTTACCACCATTCAAGGGGGCTATAAATATATATTTCAAATATGACGTAGCCCTGTTTGCAACCATACCCAAAAGGACAGCTCAATGATCTATACCAGCATTTAAGCCCCTTTAGACTTAATGTTTTGAGACAATTGGTCTACAGCGAATTCCACTGTGCACACGGTGGCAGAAACGGCAATCATTCCATGTCAATGAAGGCAGACTCGACCGATGTCTTATTAAAGCTTAGCGGCGTATCCAACTTTTGGCGTGGGGGGAAGGGCCAACAGTATGTTCGATTTTCACAACGTTGGTGGCAAAATGACCCCAAAGAGTTATTCTAAAAACTCCTAAAGGCTGAACTCCTGGAAATATGCACTGCATCGATATGGGAAAAAACTCTCGAGGGAAGGGGCGGATTCCGTCCCCAGCTTAACAGGGTTAAGTCTCGAAAAGTAAATGAGACCATGGTGTGGGCCATTCAAGTTCGTGGTCAACGGGCTGTTCTTGAAGGCACATCTCACCATGGTTCGTGCTGTACGTTTTAGTCAAATTAAATGACATCCATTAATTTGAGACTGTAATTCGTGCTTTGAGCCTCCTTTGTTCTTATCGTCACAAAATGACCCTTATGAATGACCCTTATGGCACCAAATTTGACAGTAAAATGAAAAAGCAGTTTACTTACAAAATTAAGTGCAAAATCTTCCACAGTGATAAGGACAGCGCAATCGTAACATCCAACATGATTATTAACAAGAATAAATTTGCAGTGATGCAAAGTATAAAGAAAATGCACTCCTGTTTAATGCACCCGTGTCCTTCTCATCGACGCTTTTCTCTGCCACTGAAAACGGAAATTGTGGTATCTTTTGGGTTAATGCTGACGCAGATTTTCAGTTTCATGAGCAAAACTGAATATCTTTCCTACATATATCACTTATTTAGCGGAAGTTTTAGAGTAAGGAGCAGCTTGAACCTAAGCCGTACAACTTTGCATCGTCACTCATGCATATTTATGAATCCCTTTTGAAATAATGTGCACTTAAATTTCAAATTTTGAAACACAACAATTGCCCGTATCTTTCAAGAAGGCTAAAATTTGGGAGAGCCTCTCAAATCCTTCAACATAAAAACTATGATGCTGTCGGTACTGAAACAGTATTCAATCAATCATGGTGACATCTGAGCAATTCCAATCGCAGATTGGCTCATCAATGCGCACTGTCATGGCTACCACACTCTTATCAAACAGGCTCGTGACTGGTGTGTTGTGGTCAGTGTTAGCGATGAATTCCTCAAACAAAAACCAAACAAATGCGGTGTAAATGTAAATGTAGTGTTGTAAGATAGCTTTTTCGTCTCGTACACTTGAACGTGATGCATGCATTAGGCTCTAATGACCGAGAAGACAATTCACCTAAAATGAAAACTCAGTGTTTGTGGAGTTATTGTTTTGTCGTCTAAAATTTCAAGTATGTCCATCAAGAAAATTTGTCCTGCTGTCACATTTGCCAAACAATTATATGATTGGGCTATATACATATATATTAAACAATAAAAGTGATTCCTTTCCTTCATCTCTATAGGCAAGGGTAAATCCAGGTCTTCATTTTGACGCGACTCTTGCTTCCGGTCGCAAATTGAACGCCCTGTCATCTGAAATTAGTGATGTATTAGTAACACTGGAGGTAGGGCATCTATAGTGGCAGATTGGAATAAGAAGTAATCAATATGCAATTTTAGTTGATACTTGTGCCGCAATCGCTTGAAAATCAGTCGAAAAGATAATTTTTACAAACACAGTGCACGTGTATTAAAATTTAAAGATTATGGCGTCGTCAGAACGGAAGTTAGGACAAAAATATGAGCTTTCACATTTCAAAAAGTGCCAAAAACAAATTATGTGATATATCACATAAATGTCTCCAAAATTTCCAGGTCCTTTGAAGTCCCTGTGTCAGATGCCCCAAGGAATGTGACATTTGAGAATGAAAATACTTCCATTTTACAGGAAGCGGCATTGGTTATGGGGACTAGGCAAATTCCTTTTGTTGCACAAATAAGCCTTTTGCGAGTTAAATTTCAATAAAACCTGGAACAATGAGTTATCTGACAGCACAAATATGCCCCTATATCAATTTGAATTCCCCAGACTAGTATTTCAATTTGATGAAAGCAATGCTTTCTTAACTGATTTGACAACCAAACTTGGTGTTTAGTCCCAGCTGTAGTAAAATCCTGCTTCCGAGTCCTATTCTTTTGCTGTCGAGATAGGCTTCGATACAGTATCAAGCCCATAGGCTTCGATACAGTATCAAGCTTAATTCAATTGCATCTCAAGAAGCATTTCCCTAACATCCATGACTTCTGCGACAACTACATGTACAAAGGTTTCAAATCTATCTGCTGTGAACGTTGTCTAGGAGCAATCGATCTGACACTTTATTGCACGGAAACGTGGAGAACACCAATTCTCAGTGTACGAGGTCCCAGTTCAAAAAAACTACAAACTGCACAAGACAAGGGTACGTTTCATTTCATGAAAAAAACAAAAACAAATCATGCACTTAACCTGACGGAAAGAACAATCAAAGTAGTGGACCAAAAAAACATGCAAAAAAATTGCAAACTGAGTATTCCTGTACTTCGAGACCTGCATATAGATGAGTGCTGAACATGCAAAGAGCAAAACGAGCCATGAAAAGAGCAAAATGAGCAATGAAAAGGGGCAAAATGAGAAATGAAAGAGCGATTTGAAGAATGAAAAGATCGAACGAGTAATGAAAAGAGCAATATGAACAATGAAAAGAGCAAAATGAGCAATGACAAGAGCAAATGAGAAATGAAAAGAGCAATACGAACTATGATAGGATCTAAAAGAGCAATATGAACAATGAAAAGAACGAATGAACAATGGAAAGAACAAAATGAGTAATGAAAAGAGCAAATCATTAGCAGTGAAATACATAGATATGTTTATATAAATCATATAATGAACAATTTGATTTGGTTCTGCTCATTTAAGATCATCCTTCCAAGGGTCGACATGAATGTTATTTCTGCAGTCAAGCCCTATGCTTGTCACCAGTGTGACAAATGCTTTAGATGGAAGTCTAATCTAGAGAGTATCCACGCTGAAGAGGAATCAGATATGTTGAGGAAAATGACTAAAAGATAGTAATTGTTTGAAACATAATTATGGTTCCAAAAAGACATTAGTACATGTGATGTCTCTGATATAAAATTTAACAAACGTCTGATAATCACTCTTGTTCATAGAGTTCATACGATTACGAACTAAAGAAGAGGTAGTCAGAAAACTAGAAAAAATAGCAATAACAGATTTTAATGGATTCATTAATCTTGGACAGAACAAACTGTTATAATCTCTACCTTGATGTTCTCGGTTTTCGTTGTCATGTATTTGAGTGCGTTGTCCCAGCAAGACACACACGGCATAGCACGTCGCGCGTCTCGCCCGATGCGTGTTTCCAGGTCACGTATTTTCATCCCCCTCACTTAGTCTGTGCGCATGCGTACTGAATCCCTCTGTAACCAGAAGACTGTAAAACGGCCCTTGACTAGAATAGGTGGACCCCATCGATCAACATCAAACTCAGAAAAAGTTGTTTGCCTCTTATTTCCATACCGATTAATATTTCAACACACAAAGTCCCTTTTGCACCCGATAACAATTCTTTTTCTGCCAAATTTTGGCCCGTCTTTCTTACGTACCTCCAAAGTAACAGAGCCAGACGTTGGAAGTGAAACATTTTAGAGGAGATTTTTCTCCGTTTTGCCGAGTTTTCTCTGACATTTCTCTACATGTGAACAATGAGGAATATCATGAACGCTATAATGAGAAAGTATCAAGCAAGAAGAAAACCGTATGGATGAGAACGGAAAGTTTTTGTTTGTGCCTTTTAGTGGGGCACTTTGTCGTCATTGTACGCATTCGTGCAATGCAGTAGGCCAACTCGTACCCAAACGCACACGTATCCAGGTCTGTGTAGGTACGTTTATGCACCATGCCCAAAATCCGGACATCTCATTTTCGACCGCTGCCAAACTCGAGTAGAATTTTGATTCCACATGAAAAACGAAAGCATTTCAGACAAATGGCTGTAAATCTTGCAAAAAATAATTAACTGATAGATCTATCAGTTAACAACAAAACAGTTATCAGTCTTCTAGACAGTATCACCGGTGATCAGAGGGGAATTTGACAAAAGTGTGAAAATTTGACACTATAAATAAGGTGAAAAACACGGGAAAATGACGAAAACGGGTCAACTCGTTCATTATGTCAACTGCGTGATTTTGTTCTGAGAATTGTGACGTGTACGTCAGATAAAGAAATAATCTTGTTGAACCAATTTTGAAAAAAAAAATTGTTAGATGTAAAGTTTTAGGATTTCTCAGCTTATAAAATTAAAGTCTGTGAAAAAAATGTTTAGAAAAATACAACTAAACTGGCATTGACACAGAAACAGACAAATTTGCTGTCTGGAAAAAACATACTTTGAAGATATCAAATAAAAATGCTAAGAAGTTGAAATAGAAAAATACATATCGAAATATTTAACCCAGAAATATGACTCCTGGAAAAAATATGCATTAACCCCCGAAAACTCCAGCCAACACCCATGTCCCAAAATAGCACTCTTCGTCAAGTTCACTGAATGACTGTCACTCATAGAGAAAACAGAGAGCCATCAAGCAGGAAGGACGTTTTCCCCCTCCCCCATAGGCTCCTGATCAATAAATAGGTAGGAAATAGGGGGGAAAGCGCGGGGAAAGAAGGGGAAAGGAGATGGTGTTTTAAGACAGTGTATGGTGTTCCCCTGGCTTCCCATGGTACTCGTTTTGGTTTTCCCGTGGTATTCAGCAACTGACCATTGTCCTCCCATGGGGTTTTCATGATTTCCCATGAAACACAATAGAAAACCTAGGGGTTTCCCATGGTGGACTTTTGTAGGTTTTGTAGCAAATGCTGAGCCAATAAAAGAAAAAAAAGAAGGGAAAAAAAAGAAGAGGGAAGCCTTTTCCATAAGCTGTATTGCAATGGTTAGTCTGTGTTTCAAATGATTACACCGCTTGGTTAAAAGTTCACTCAACATAAATACTCAAACAGCAAATCTTTCAATGAAAAAATTCCAAATTATGTGACTGGTGTTCACGCATAAATTAAATAAAACGCGACCAGCTATGCTTTAAATATCACTGTGCTCTACATTAGCCACATATTTTGAAAACGTGATGGACAATTTAAAAAAACATTTCAAGAGTACGAAACTGCCTTCGACTTAGACGAGAAATGACAATTGAGAATGACAAGTCATTGTACTCAACTCAATGAACTCTAAGGAAATCGTGTATACATTTTTTCAAAAACAAATCATTTGAGAAATAAAACAAGGATTTTGAAAGTTCACCATAGTTTGTACAAACACAAATGTTTCTTTACTGCTTAATGCGCCCATTTTTGCATAATTGACCGCAGAAAAAGCTACGTTTAAAAGGTTGCCTAATGTTAGTTATTTAAATGAAATTTATTTAAGTTTTTACCAATTTAACTGACATTGTAAAACATCGTCAGATTTTTGCCACACGGTCGTCTCTAAAGACCATGGTCATCTTGATGTTTATTTTCCATGTATATTCTTTTTTTTGTCCTAGCACGGCAAAACATATCATGAAATGCAAGAAGCGCCGAAACATGTGAATAATTAGTCTAAGCGGCATCCAACCAACTCGAATCTTAGTCCAATCCAGGTGTGCCACTGAATCGACTCAATGCGCACTGTAGTGGCCACCACACTCTCATCAAACAGGTTAGTGACCGCGCGTAGTGTTACTGCTCGTGTTGCCGTTGAAAACCTGCGGTAAAAACGGATGAAACGCATCGTACAATTTACTTGAATACAAATATCAGTTTTCCTCAAAACACTCCTTTAACAAACTCCACAGGAAGTTACATTACCGACATTTTTATTTTCATATATTTGTAAAGTTATATAGCTCCATAAACTTGGCAGTTTTAAGCAAATTACCTGAGTGACAAAGCGCGACAATTTAACGTAGCACTTATCATACAGCAAAAATATTATTGCCCTTAAAATAAACAGATTCTTAAGATAAGACTTGAAGGTTTTAATGGCGAAAGAGCTGTATGAGTAAAACGCTTGCGGTTACACCATGGATCAATCTCTTTCTTGAGTATGTGTGGTTCTGAGTTTTTTCCGGGTTCTTCTCAGAACCACACATACTCAAGAAAGAGATTGATCCATGGTGTAACCTCAAGCGTTTTACTCAGATCATGTTCTCTTGTTTTGACACCAAGAACCAGAACATATTAACCCACTAAAGAAGATGAGGTCAAAAAGCACGAAGGAAACGGGAATGTAAGACCACAAAGACAGTCTTTAATCTTGGACAGAGCGAGTTGTAACATTTCTACCTTGGTGTCCCCGTTTTGATCTGTCACGTGCACACGATCAGATGAGGGTTGCCTCTGATATGACACTTTGTACTTTTCCACATACCACACACCCTTCGGGCCTCTTTGTGTGGTGACGCCAGACACCACTGTTCTCACAGCGAGGTCAACCTCGATCCAGGAGTCTGCGTTGCTATGTACACATAGGGCGAGGGGATGATGAACGATGAAATAACATTCCGCCATAAATGCGCTTGTAAGAGAAGGGATATTGGCAGGAAAACAATACGAAAATTCCAATTGTTTTAAGACAGGCTCATACATAGATAACTGCTGTGGTGGCATGGTCAATGGTGTGATCGAAAGTATACTTAATATTAATTATACGTAAATTTTCGACGGAATTTTTGGAAAGGGTTTCGAATCTGATTGTTGGCCTGCATATACAAAACATTGCAACATAATTCAAAATAGCCCCCGTCATTTTCTAAAAGGTCACGAACAAACCGATCTATCGCTAATAAGCGCTTCTGTATTACCTAGTTGTGTACATATAGTATTGTCTGCTCAGTGTATAAGGTGTGTGGGGAATGCGAGTGGGGTCTGTGAGGGTGTGTAGTCTCCCATGGATACCTACCTCTTGGGTGCCCATCGCTTGTTACTGTTGAGACGTGCATCTGTGGCCAAACAGGAACCTCGAAAACAGTCCCTGTGACTGGACGCTGAGATCCGTTCATCGGGGATAGTCTTGTCCTCCATCCCTAGCGGCCTCGGGTCTAAGCAAGGAACTATCGCGGGTCCTGGCTCTGTAGGCCCTTCCTCTACAATCAAACGTGGAAACAAATGAAACAATTTTGTCCGTGACCATACACTTTCAAATTTGCATCAACTTTAAAAATTCATCACTGCAAAATGTTAAGGACGGTTCAAATATTAGACAAATCACAGAGCAGGGAAAAATAAATGCAAAACGTGGTTTTTTTAACCATTCGAATCAGTACGACACTCCACGATCAACACAACCACAGAAACGTCACAGAAAAGAATCCCCCTTGAGCACCCTCTCATCGGTTGAAAAGAGTCATGTTGGTGGGAGTGTCCTAGTATGATGTTAGTAGCAATGCCACCGCAACGCATTTCGTAGTTATTCGTGACCAAGCGAAGTGAAGGAGCCTTCGTTGGTAGGAAAATTGCGCCATCTCTTGGTCACGCTCGTGGCGCATACGTACTCAAAGGTCAAGTCCCAGTGGTTTGTTATCGATACATTATTTCTAGTTCTCACACCCAAACGGCGGGAATTTGGCCCAAGAACGCTGATCT